CTGTGAAGCTCCAAAAGAGCATGTGTTGTGATGTGCAGACCCAGTGAGATGGGTTAGATAGATATGACAGTCTTAATAATTGTTTTGCTTTGTGGATTGGTCTCAATGCTTTAGTATGGCCTGATGGTCAGAATCCAAACAGGCTGGAAATGATTGCATTGGTTTGTCATGTATAACTGTTTCCAGGGTGGTGTGAAATGCCTAACCTGTTATCTCTTAGTTACTGCTTGCAGTCTAATTCTGATGTTAATCATTTTTGCACCAGAGGTTTCCAGTGCATCCCTTGATAGTAGCAGACTTTGCAGCTGGAACATGCCACGCCCCAGGGTTAGCAAGGTCATTTTAGCAATAATTTATAATCTAAAAACCTTTCAGTTTTTCAACAGTTTTCCATTTCCAGAATCCCTTGCCACCGTCCAGATAGATAATCTAATTTGTCTTGGGATACATTACAGGGAATCATGTTATGTAACTTAGGTTATTCTTGGATCACCACCACCGCTAGAAGTACACTGGCATACACAGCATTAGTGATGCAACAGTCTCCTCTGTGTCTGAGTGGATCAAAATGTCGCTGTTGAGCTACATAGAGAGAAGTCAGTAGTTAGCCAAAAGAAAAGGAGGACTTGTGGCACTTTAGAGACTAACAAATTTTAAATAAATTGGTTAGTCTCTAAGGTGCCACAAGTCCTCCTTTTCTTTTTGCGAATACAGACTAACGCGGCTGCTACTCTGAAACCAGTAGTTAGCCAGTATCTGAACATAGCCCGGTTAGAAAGTGGAGAACTTAAACAGATGATTTTGTATTTAAATTTGATCTTGTAAACTCTGTGCTGAACACAAGACAGGTGATCCATTCCTCCCGCCACTGTAAATGCTCCATATTGATTTGCGGGGAACCCCAGTTTATTTATTACCTTTTTTTTTTTTTTTTGGACACTCCGTGATGGTGGGTGGGTGGGTGTTACACTGGGTCAGATAGCAAAGTTAAAAAATAAGAGAAACATCTCAATTTCTAATTGATTCATAACTCTCAACACAGCAAGAGTGAGGAACATATGGTTCCCGGGTTCGGGTCTGTCGAGTATGTGCCTGTTTGGTTCAGGGACTGTGTGGCAACTTTTTAATTTAAAGGGACATGCCAACGTACAAATCATTTTTTTTCACCCACTATTGTTGTATGGGACACTTAATATGTCTGTAACTGAAAAAAAGATTAGAGAGAAAATATTTCTGTATTTTTCCAACTTATTTGCTTTTTGCCTAGTCACTTTCACTCATTCCCCTGTACAGGTTAGCTGGCCAATCAGTTTCCCTTGGTTTTTTTTGTGACTGGTTTTATACAGCAACAGAGGAGAGAGAATGAGACTTTACCGACAGGAAAATGTGATGGTAAAACCACAAAAATCAGCAAAGGGATGTGGGGCAGAGTCCCAAGAAAAACTGCTTGTAACATGCTTTTGGAAGTTGACTAGATTAAGTTGACAGTATCCTTTTAAAGCTAAACAAGACAAACCGATCTCGGGCAACGTGATGGGTTAAAGAACTAGCATTTCATCTGCACTGGAGGCCTGAGTTCACACTGATAAATAGTTTGGGGGATCTCACTCTAGTCTGATGTGGACGTTGTTCCTATCCCAAAGCCACAGAATGGTTAGGAGGAGTTAAATATGGTGGTCTGCTCAGGGGAGCCCAGACTGTTTCAGGTTAGGAGGAAAGTGCATTGGCAAAGCTGTGCAGGGAAGGCTGTACAGCAGTATAGTCTCATGAGTGCCCAGGGTCTCAGAGCTTATACAAAAAGCTTGACACTGGACTCTCTGGGCATATTGGAATGCTGGCCTAGGCCCTCACTAATGGTTGGCTTTTTGATAATGCTCCTCAAATTATATAAAGCTAATGCCATAGAAAGTATTGATACAGATATTACAAACTGCTATGTGTAAGTCTCTCAGCGAGTCCACTGGAAACCCACTTTGACTCCCACTTCCTGCTCTTGACTCTCTGCTTCAAGATTCTGCATCTCCATCTCTGTGCCTGTGGCCAAGGAGGACTGGACAGGATGCTGTAATATTCCCATTCTTTTCTGGTCTGTTGAGTAAGCACCTGGACCCAGGTTTCTTACATGGTATTGCAGACCACTTAATGGTTTGTAACCCTGTTTTTGAGGGTTTTAACAACCCTCATAAAGCTTGCTGGGGATTCTCAAACTTGCTATAAATGTTTTCAGCAAAGTAGAATGTGTTTTAAAAACTATATATTCCCTTCCTATTGTATATGTGTTATGTGGATTAGGTAATTGATTTATATGAAAGGCAGGATCAGTTTGTTTAAATGACAGTGGTTCTCAACCTGCGGCCCATGGGCTACTTGCAGCCCAGTCAGCACACAGCTGCCGCCTATGACATCCTCAGGGCCATCCAGGTATATCTGGATGCAGCCCACAATGGTAAATAGTTTGAGAACCACTGGTTTAAAACTGCTGAATGATGGGTGGGAGGGAAATCTCATACTAAACTACAATACTACGATTCTTGGTGTGCCAGCTGGCAGAGAGCTGGTACAGGGTGAAGTCTCAAAGTATTGTAAAACTATTAAATTTAAATAAAGGTGCTGAGGTAGATATGTTGGGGAGTTCCTATCCTTGTGGAACGGGATACTTCCAGAGTTGCTATGTTAGATACCCCCTCCCCCCCTCAGATTCCACCACAACTTCTGCAAGTATCCTAAAGGTGTATCCCCTACTGGCTAGCACTGCCTGATGGGGTATTGCTGTCCAGCCAACTGCAAGAGTTAAGAAGGGTATTCCCTTACGTAAAAAGACTTTTTCTCCCTAGCTGACTCCTTTGAGAAGTGAATACGATCAGTTAAGTAGTGCAGATTCTATTTAACCAGCAAAGCTGTGGGCAATTCATCAGGGGCTTTACATTTTTATTTCAAGACTACAGTGCAACTAATCACTATTTCAATGTTTAGATTTCTGAAGCAGAATCTCCCTAGCATGAATTCAACATAAAATTTGAGGGCAGTTTGTGAGGATACAGCTGTGGGAACCATTCGTCCGCATCTGCCAGATATTGGATAGGTGTTATCTGCTTTTTCTATAAATGGCCCTTTATGGGTCTTTCGGAATTCGACTTAGATCATATATGTACAGCACTTCTTATAATTAGTTTTAAATCACAGAAGTATGTTAATGTTTGGATTGTTTATAGGGATGTGTGGCGAGTCCCTGTCTTCTCCTTTCACCCCTTTATCTTGTTTTTTTGTTCTTGCACTGTGGATCTAGGACAGTGTTGGAGTTTGTTTTGGTTTTGTGGGAGTTTATTTTAGTATTTCTCTCTGTGGAATTGATGTCTCTTCTTGTTGCTATCTATTTTATTCTTTTTTTTTTTTTTACATAAATTAAATAGGATCAGCTGGGACATCTTGGCCAGACAAACCTAATTTTTATTTCTTAAACTGTCACATTGAGATTATAAACTCAAACCCCACATCTCTGTCTGAGGGGCTTGTAGTGTCTTGCATGCTGCTCTGCAGACCCAACAGAGAGCACACAGTCAGACTTGTGCCATCTCAGACTTCTGCTAACAGGAGTGTCAGTACAGGAAGTGAACAGGAATACATGTTAATTCTGGGCGAATGGGAAAAAGATTGGTGTTTCCTAAGGGGAAATCAGAAAACTGCGGAAGAGAAGCTGTATATTCAGGAAGGTGTGGTGTACATATGAGCTAAAAGAAGCAAGAGTGAGGTAGCAAATCCCATAATACTTTCAGGGTCTAGTTCTCACTGGCTATCTCTAGGATGTAACGCTTGCGGGTGAGAGCAGTGTTGGGCGATGTGGTGAGAGGCCTGGGTTTAGCGTTGTCCCTACACACATTGTAGGTCACAAACAAACATTGGCTCGGGGCAGCACCCTCATTCCTCCCAGCAGGAGTTGTCTGCAGCTAGATCAGTTAGTTACTTGGAGCGAAAAACTGTTCTTAAGAGTTTCTTCCCTCCCTATCCGTTGTTTTCACAGAGGTAGGTAGGGGAAGGGACCCGGCTGAATAAGCACATAAGAATGTCCCTGAGGGGATGCAGGAACATGCTGTAAACGGGAAGTCACCCAGGGAGGCTGACAGTCTGCTGTAACATTGGAAGGAGGGCATCCGCCCTGCATTGTTTTACACACACAGTATCGTGGGGACTGACATGATATTTTGTACCGGTTCCGATGAGCAGTACAGGACCTACGGTAGCTGAAGGGGATGAGATGGCGACATTTCAGAGCTGTTACAATGTATCTTGTTAGCACTTTCTGTTGCTGCTTTTAGATGCCTCCAGTTCAGTCCATGCTGTGGTGGTATAAGGCTGGTACGCTCCTCGAAGCACCATGGCATGAAATGGAGGTTCCTAGAAGCAAGACGGAAGGTACAGTACTGACAGTTGGCCTCCGTGTGCGTTCATTCTCCCCCCTCTTGTGGTGGGGGTGGGGGTGGGGGAGAAGAGAATCTAAATATTAAAAAAAAACAAAAAAACCAACCTGTTAGGAAACTGCTAGACTGCCAGCAAAGTGACCCACTGCCAGCAATGCTGAGGTAAGGGGTCCTCCACTCGGCGATATTCCACTGTACCTAGGTGTTGCAGGGCTCTCCGGCAGCCAGTGAGGTGTGTGCTTCAGTGCCATGGCTTTTAACGGTTCTGAATGAGGGTGTCTGTCCAAGAGCATCAGTGCTGGCAAAGGCCAGTGCTTCTAACCCAGGTTTTTTTCACCAGTCGTTTCATTATACTCGGTGAGACACTGACATGAGTTATCAGACGCAATTGTCTGGCTTCACCATCTAAATGTAAAATTATAGTTGTTGCTCGACATGTACATCGGCCATACGAAGAAGACGACTGACATGAATGGGGAAAGCTACTAACAGCACTTGTCTGAAAAATGAATGTGAATTTCAGTTGTGGAAATGTCCGTAGCATGAAACCTTCCCCTTCCCTTTCTGTCTCTGATTGCATCACAGAAAAGCAGGGTCCAGAACGGAAGAGGATTAAAAAGGAGCCTGCCACTAGGAAGCCTGGCTTGCTGTTTGGAATGGGGCTTTCAGGAATCAGGGCTGGTTACCCACTCTCTGAGCGCCAGCAAGTCGCCCTTCTTATGCAGATGACAGCAGAAGAATCTGCAAATAGCCCAGGTGAGAGCTGAAAGTGAGGCGTGGGTGGATGTGTCTGAGCTCATATTTAATGGGACTCTGTATGCTTCTGCTTATTCATAAACAACAACCATGGTCACAAAATAGACACAGTTGAGCATGTGTACCAGTGGTGTCTACCTGGCACCCAGGACATGTTTTATAATGTTGGTAGCATAATTCTTCTGCCTCAAGACTATAGTATGAGAGTCTGGAAATGAATTTAAGGGATGCAAATGCTTCACTCCTGCCAAATATTCCATCTTCACCTAATATCACTTCATGCAAGCTACAGCTCCCTACCCCAATTTAGGCAAATGTCCCTTTATTGCATTCTGAAATGATTATAGAATGTTGGACAGATAGGTGCAGAAGGCATTAGATGCTGTTTAGTTAGCACTAAAGATCTCAGAACTAATTTAGTTACCGGGATCATTAGCATATGTCAGAGCTCCAAGTTTTCTGCTAGGTTAATATGTTGATTGAGTAATAAGATGTTTTTGAGAGTAAAAGGGAGAGCATGATTATCTCTGGGATTCTTAAATGCTCCTCCTTATGTAAAAGAACTAGACTCTGCTAACCATGGTGTATTGTAATTTTAGACCTAATGTAGTAAGTGTTTTTAACATGGAATTAATATTTCAATATGCTGTAGTATCTGTTGCCAATGTGGGCTCCTGTGGGGTTTTATATGTGTTATATGATCTGTCTATGTATCCTTCTGTCTTATATACAGAACGGTGGAGTTATCTAGGGACCTTATTTTTGTTGCTGTCATTCTTAATGTGAATCTAGTTTCAAGTCACTCTCACTTGATAGTAAGTGAATTTCAGAATATTCAGGGCTTCTCCCAAGAAGTGTGTGCACTATCCTTCCAGGCAGTTACCCCCTCACAGGCACATGGGGAAGGTTACTTTGTCACTTCCCTTTGGAAGTAAGACTTTTGGGTATGAGGAGACCCTTTGCCCTTTCTGAAATCATAGGATTGTCTATAATCTGTACAAGTGTTACTACACCCTTCTCCAGTCTGTGCTTCAGCACAGCCTACAATTTATATCTGTATTATACATACACAGGCTTTCCTCTGTCTCCACATCTGGTTCAGAGGATCAGTTACCTCTGAGTGCCTTCCAGTCAGTGCTTCAGTGCAACTGCTGGATTAAAAGTATTGCAACAGCTCCCTCTGAGGGGCTCTGGTTTTCCTTTGAATTGCAGTTCTTCACTGTATTTCTCTTCTCCATGCAGTAGATACAACACCAAAGCATCCCTCTCAGTCTACAGTGTGTCAGAAGGGAACTCCTAACTCTGCCTCCAAAACCAAAGATAAAGTAAATAAGAGAAATGAGCGTGGAGAGACTCGGCTGCATAGAGCTGCCATCCGAGGAGATGCCCGGCGCATCAAGGAACTCATCATTGAGGGCGCAGATGTCAACGTTAAGGACTTTGCAGGTAGCAAGCCCAGCTGCAGTTCAGTGATCTGTATTAATAAGCCAGGAGCCTAGAGTGCAGTCAGTGGATTTGTATATGCCCCGTATCTCACCTCGCCTTTAATAAATATAGGAATAGCCAGGCCACATCAGACCCAGAGTCCCTTGAGTCCAGTATCCCATCTCTAGACTGAAAGTGTCCGGTACCAGACACTGTAATGGCCAGTTATAGAATGACCTGTGCGTAGGAAATTTTCCTAACCCCAGGCATTTATGCCTTGTGGCATGAACCATGAGCTTAGGGTGGTGCAATGGAATGGAGAGTCTCAGCATGAGGTGCTTCATTCTGGTCTGAGCAATGTCCATCCCGATGAGGATGGAGCACTGCAGACTAGAATCTGTAGTCCTAGCAAGTCTTAGATCCTCATGAAAGATGGAGGCAGGTGCAGTGATTTGCTTTGTTTTATAATCATTCAGTGTGACCCAGCAAAGCCTGTGAACAGGTGCAGTGTGGGTACTAGGGTGACCAGACAGCAAGTGTGAAAAATCAGGACTAGGGTGGGGTGTAATAGGAGTGTATATAAGAAAAAGACCCAAAAATCGGGACTGTCCCTATAAAGTCGGGACATCTGGTCACCTTAGTGGGTACCCCTGGGATTATAGATAGAGCGGGTAACAAAACCTGTAGTTAAGCTTGCCCAACACTTCCTATTATAAGATCCTGTTTTCAGTTGCTTAGTATAACTTAGTCAAATTTGAGCCATTTGTGCTGAAATTTTCCATGTCAGGAGTTTGCCTTAGGCTGGGTTTTGTTTTTTGTTTTGTTTTTATTTTAAGTTCAGCTGTTTTTAAGAATGAGATTAAGGGAAATACATTATTTTGCACATGCTGAAAAAATTCTTGCTATCCCTGTGTAAAACTGCCCAAGTTAGGCTGCGTTATAAATCTGAAAAATCTCAGTTTGCACATGCTCAGTAGAGACTGATTAGAGTTTAGCCACTGAATTCTGAGACCATTCCATCTGTACTTGAGCATGCTCCATCCCAGAATTGTAGAAGCTGAGCAGGACTTTTCCTGCAGTTGCTCCTTTAAGCTTTTGGGAGTCAACTGTGGCACCAGAACTGAGAACAGGGAGCCTGTTTCTCTTGTGCTCTCAGTATTCCCTCTGCTGGTGCCCAAGCAGTGTGGAGGAGGAACCTCTCTGACTCAAATGCAATAAACAAGTTCACGGAAGCCCGTGACCTGTCTCTGACTTTTACTACCTGACTTTTACTAAAGATAACCATGACAAAATGGTGCTGATGGTGGGGAGGGCTGAAGCTTGAGTGAGGGGGAGGGGAGTAAGAGAGCTTGAGCCCCACTGCGGAAGGGAGAAGTCCAACACTCCTCATCCCTGGCGGCTCAGAACTGTGGCAGCCGCCTGCAGCATCTGGGAGCTCTGGCCCACCACCCCAGGGCTGGAAAATATCACAAGGTCTCTGAAGGTCACAGAATCAATGACATTCTTTACCTCCATGACAAAATCTTACCCTTAATCGTAATTATACGCACAGGAGGGCTGAATTAAGGTTGCACGGACAACCTTAATTCTGGCATTTCCTAGCTTTTGAGTGCTTGACTTTCTGACCATAACATTCTTTTAAAGTAGTTTTTTAAATGTAGCGAGTAGATATGCTTATTCTTGAGCTCTAAATGTTTAACATCAGTGTTCGTTGTGAGTAATTTCAATCACAGATACCCCTTTTTAATAGTACAAAGGGAGGGTTCTGAAAGGCTCACCAATGCTATCAGCAGAATATTCAAGGAGTAGTGCACACCTGCCGGGAAACTTCGAAACAGATTCTGCTTAGAAATCAATCTGCTGCCCATGTATGATAGAAATTTTTACATTTCTTTCCCTCATTCTTCAGAGGTTTGTTTGAGAATAGGAGCTTTTGTTTCTGCAGAGTTCATCTGCTTCCACGCTTAGTCCCTTCCAGAAGTCATGGTCCTGTTTGTGATGTCACAGTTGCTTGCTGTGGAAATGTTGCAGACAACCCGTATGCTGAGAGTTCAGCTAGGGGATACGCTGTATGACCAGATGAATCCTAAACCCCAGTCCTGACTGAGTGACAATCTTCCTCCTATCAAAGAGTTAGAGGAGAGAGAAACAATTTAATCTAATGAGAGCAGAGCACCATGAGGTATCAGCCGCCCTTTGAGTTCATTCACTAAACGTTCTCTGCTTTTGGAGTTCACTGAGTGGCATGAAGTTCTACAGGACAATTGGCTGTAGCACCTTATGTTGCCAAACAGAAAAGCTGGATGGACTCAAGTACCAGATGTCAGGCTGGCAAAAAAGTTGCTTTCCAAAGCAGAGCTGCTGGTGTGTTGGGCAGGCGGTCTTGGCCACGCAGGTCCTGCTGTGCCGTGTGCTGGCTGGTTAGAAGAGCTCCGTGTCAGCAGGCAGAGCTGCAGGCAAGCTGCCATATTAGCAGCCAGCAGCATCTATTTTGGTTACTGTGACACTGTTCATAATTATCAACCGTAAAAATTAGTTGCCCACGTCATGAGTGTTTGTGTGCTTGCAGGCTGGACAGCATTGCACGAGGCATGTAACCGGGGTTACTATGATGTTGCAAAGCAGTTGCTTGCTGCCGGCGCGGAAGTCAACACAAAGGGGTTGGATGACGACACCCCGCTGCATGATGCAGCTAATAATGGGCATTTCAAGGTTGGTTCTTGCTGGATTTAGTAGCCATTTTTTAGTGATTTGTTACAAATAAATGAGTTTGATTTTCCTGTGCTTTAAGTCGTATCTGTATAGGCAATTGCTGTTTCATTTCATTTCACGGACTGGCATGTTGCATCTTTCCATGTGAGACTCTTTCTCCAACCCCTGTGCTATTACATGTTGTGCTAGTTTCTCCACTTCGTGTCAGAGTCCTTGGAATTGTAGGGTGGAGCTTGCTACCAGAATACAGGTTTGCATTTCCCCCCGTAAATCTGTCCTGCCATTTTCTCTGTCCCTCATTTCAATCACTGTGTCCATGTCACTGGGTGACAGGGGGCAGGATGACCAGCCAGCTCTGACCTCAAACTAACCTCTTTCCTGCTTGTCTGTCTGAACAGCCCACAGAAGTGATGGGGACTGAAACAACTTCCTTCGCAATGGAACCATACTGAGATTTTGAAGTTTTTCTCATTTTTAGGTGGTAAAATTGTTGTTACATTACGGAGGGAACCCTCATCAAAGCAACAGGAAGGGAGAGACGCCTTTAAAAGTCGCTAATTCCCCCACCATGGTGAATCTACTCCTGGGAAAGACCACCTATCCCTCTAGTGAAGAGAGCTCAACAGGTGAGATGCTGACCTGTGTGGGTGTTGGGATAATAGGCTATCACCATAGTGGCAACCTGCTACCACAAAAGCAGTTATAATAGCCCCAGAACGCCTACATGCTCCTGGAATAGCCAACTCAGTGCACAGCCAAGATGTTCAGATCCTTAGAAAACCTACCCTTTGCTCAGAGAGCTCTGCCACTCATCCTGGAGAGTTCTGTCGTAGGAGCCTACTGCTAAAAGCATCCTACATGTTTCCACCTACCACAACTGGGGATGTAGGAGGAGAGGCCAGGCCCTCAAGTAAGTGGGTCCCATATCATTTAGGGTTCAAAGACTGTCGCCAGCATTTTGACTTGCACCTGGAAGCCAGTGTAGAAATTCTTGCATACCTGTTGTGTATTCATTACAGCATACCCCCGGGAAAGCAAGGTGCTGTATTCTGCATTTGTGGAAGCTTCCAGACAGTGCTCCACTAAATAACTATAGTCTAGCATGGAGGTGATGAAGTTATGACTAATAGCTGCAATGCCTGCACTGGGTGGGCAGCTTCTTAGTTAGCTCAAGATAGTTCAAGAGAGGCACTGCATGCCACTGCTCCTCCCAGAGAATCCTGGTCTACAGCCCATTTGTGTGTTAGAGCTGTGCCCACTCCGAGTGCATCCTACGTAGTTTTAAAACTACTTGGGTATTCTTTCCAAAAGAATGTTAAGCTCCCTCTAGGCTCAGCTAAGAAGTCTGGTGTGTTCAGTGTGTGGGGTGCAAGGAGACTGCTAGCTTGGGATTTCAGGGGAGGCCTGAAGAATGCATATTTCTCCTGAAAACAACCTACAGGGCTAATGCTTTGTGCTGTTTTTTCCCCACAGAGAGCTCAGAGGAGGAGGACGCCCCTTCATTTGCACCTTCCAGCTCCGTTGATGGCAATAACACAGACTCTGAGTTTGAAAAAGGCTTGAAACATAAGACAAAGAGTCAAGAGCCCCCCAAAACAACAATCACACCGGTAAAGGATGAATATGAATTTGATGAAGATGATGAGCAGGACAGAGTCCCGCCCGTCGATGACAAGCATTTGCTGAAAAAGGATTACAGGAAAGAGACTAAAGCAAACAGTTTTATTTCCATACCCAAAATGGAAGTAAAAACCTATACTAAAAATAACACAATTACACCAAAGAAACCTGCCCATCGCATCCTGTCAGACACGTCAGATGAAGAGGATACCAGTGTAGCTGTGGGGACTGGCGAGAAGCTGAGACTATCGACTCACTCGATACTGCCCAGCAGCAAGACTCGAGAGCCCTCCAACACCAAGCAACAGAAGGAGAAGAATAAAGTCAAAAAGAAGCGGAAAAAGGAGACAAAGAGCAAAGAGGTTCGGTTTGGCAAAAAAAATGACAAATTTTGTTCCTCTGAATCAGAGAGTGAAAATTTGGAGAGTGAGGAGGATGATAGAGACTCTGTGCAAAGCTCTAGCTGTGTAAAGGACTCTAGGCTAGTGCTAAAGGAATCCTCCTTGTTCAACTCTCTGTCTGCCTCTTCCACCTCTTCTCATGGGAGTTTAGCTTCACAGAAACATAACCCTAATCTTACAGACCAGCACTCCAAGCACTGGAGGACAGACAACTGGAAAACCATATCTTCTCCAGCATGGTCAGATGTCAGTTCCTTATCGGACTCCACAAGGACGAGACTGACAAGTGAGTCAGACTATACGTCTGAGGATTCCAGTTTACAGTCGTTAAAGCCAGTGAGAAAGAAGCAGGAGCACAAAAAGAAAAATAACTCTCACAATACTGTCTCTGAGAAGAAGAATTCATTCCATGCCAACGTGGACGGAGCAATTCCAAAGCTGGATAAGGAGGGAAAGGTTGTTAAAAAACATAAAACAAAACATAAACATAAAAACAAAGAGAAGGGACAATGCCCAGTCAGCCAAGACATTAAAATAATCAAAACTTTTTCCTTTGAATATGAGGACTCTAAGCAAAAGCCTGACAAGGGTTTGATAGAGACTGAAAGTCCAAGTGAAAATAAATTAAAAGTGTTAAAACATGAGAGAGAACACTGTAAAAAGGAAGAAAAGCTACTGAAAAGTAAATCAGAGGAGAAGGAATGGTTGTTTAAAGATGAGACTGGAAAAGCCTCCAAAGAGGAGAAATCATTAAAAAAAGTCAAAGAGGGGAATAAAGACATCAGCAAATTTTTCAGAGAGGAGAAGTCAAGTAAAGAAAAACCCATAAAGGAAAAGTCTCCCAAAGAGGAGAAACCTAGAATACACAAGGAAGAGAGAAAGAAAAAATCAAAGGAAAAGCAGTCAAAATCTGAAAAGAAGAATGATCTGAAGGAGGAGAAAATTACTAAACTGGAGAAAGACAAAACCTTCAAAGAAGAGAGAGAAAAATGTAAAAAAGAAAAAGTTTACAAAGAAGAACCTGGATTTGATGAGTTTAGTAATAAAAGCCAATTGCTGGAAAGCGAGGACACAAAATTCAGCCTTTCTGATGATCAGCAAGAGAGATGGTTTTCTGATTTGTCTTCTGATTCATCCTTTGATTTCAAAGGTGAGGATAGCTGGGATTCTCCAGTAACAGACTTCAGGGAGATTAAAAATGACAGCATGGCAAAACTAATCCTAGAAACAGTGAAGGAAGAAATTAAAGACAAGAAAAGGGAGAATAAAACAAAGGAAAAGAAAGAATACAATGAAAAACGCAATGAAAAGGATACATTCTTAAAAAAGAGAGAGAGAGAAAGTGTCGACAAAAACCCTGAGAAGAAAAAGGACCAAACTGAAAAGCATAAAGTCACTCCTAGTTATCTGCCTGAAAAGGACAAGAAAAGGAAAGATTCTGCAGAAAGCGTTAAAGAGAGAAAGGAAAAAGATCCAGGTGAAATCAACAAAGAGAGAAAAGATTCCTCTGATAGCTGTAAAGACCGAAAGGACATAAAAATTAAACAAGAGGAGCCCTATCGAGATGAGTTTAAAGAATATGGTTGTGAAACATTCTTCAAGGAGAAATCTGACCCTGAATTCAGTGGAAAAAATGTGGAAAGCGGGGAAAGGCACCATTCAGGGAAAGATAAGGAGAAGAAAGATGCTCCTGATAAGGAAAAGAAAGAGAAACTGAAACCAGAAAAATATAAGGAGAAATCCAAAGAAGCAGATAAAGAGAAAAATGAAAAAGTTGTTGCTGAGAAAAACCAGAAAGACAAAGAACTGGATAAAAGTTTTAAAGAAAAAAAAGATCCTAAGGAGAAATACAAGGATCTGCATAACAAAGACAAAGAAAGGAAGACTTCTTTAGACTATATCAAAGAGAAAAAAGAGAAAAACTTCTCTGGAGATAGAGAGGATTTCTCTGAGAAAAGAGATGAGAAAAAAGGAAAAGAGAAAAGCTGGTACAGCATCGCAGATATCTTCACAGATGAAAGCGAAGATGAGAAGGATGATTACAGCTTAAGCGGATTCAAAATTGGTGAGGCCATTGGGAGTGAATTGCATCGAATGGACAGTCTACAAGAAAAAGATGATAGCATGGCTGCTGAAAAGGAACTTTATCTTGCTGACAAGCACAGAAAGTACTCTTCTGACAGGCAACATTCAGGAGAGAAACAGAAAGATAAAGAGAAGAAAAAGGATAAAGGATTAGCAGAAGGTGGGAAGGAGAAAAAAGAGAAGAGTTTCTTTGAAAAACACAAAGAGAAGAAGGATAAAGATTCTGTCGAGAAGTATAAAGACAGGAAAGACAGAACCTCAGTAGACTCCACCCAAGAAAAGAAAAACAAGCAAAAGCTCCCTGAAAAGGCTGAAAAGAAGCATGCTGCTGAGGAGAAGGTAAAAAACAAGCATAAGGAAAAGATGGATAAAGAACATTCCAAAGAAAAGAAGTCTTCAAAAGGAGGAGAGACCGAGAAGAGCCTGTTGGAAAAATTGGAGGAGGAGGCCCTCAATGAATATAGAGATGACTCCAATGATAAAATAAGTGAGATTTCTTCTGATAGCTTCACAGACAGAGGACAAGATCCAGGACTAACCAACCTCTTTGAGTCTTCTAACCTTTCTCTTATGGATGCCTCTGAGGAAAAGTATAAAGATTCTCTTCCTTTGCCCTGCTTGCAAGACAAACTCAAGGAGAAGGAGAGGCACAGGCATTCCTCATCTTCATCAAAGAAAAGTCACGAGAAAGAGAAAGCAAAGAAGGAAAAAACAGAGAAAAAAGAGAAAATGGATGACTTTAAAGACTCCAGCAACAGAAAAGATTCCAGTCAATATGAAAAAGAATTGTCTGTGGATGGGGAGACTTTTGGCATTTCCTACAGCATGAAAGCAGAGGTTGAGGAAGAACTGGACAAAAACATTGACTATTTGTTTTCTGAAAAGAAAGATAAAAATGATCCTGAGAGAGAGCTCTCAAAGAAGGCAGAAAAGGAAAAGACTTATGTTTCCAGTACCATCAGCACAGTCAAAGAGAAGAAGAAGAGAGAAAAACACAAGGAAAAATGGAAGGATGAAAAGGAAAAGCATAGAGACAAACATACAGATGGATTCTTTAAACATCACAAAGATGAGACAAAATCTGTGGTTAAAGACAAGGATAGCCCTCAAGTTATCACATTCAAAGATAAGTCAAAGGAGGAGAACCTAAAATTTAGTGAAACCAAACTGAAGGAGAAACTCAAGGAAAACCAAGAGAAAGACAAAACAGAGTCTCTAAAGATCAGTAATGGAAATGATAAAATAACATTGTCCAAAGATGGTAGCAAGAAAGATAACAGGCCTAGAGAGAAGCTTCTGGGTGATGGTGATCTAATGATGACCAGCTTCGAGAGGATGCTGAGCCAAAAAGACCTGGAAATTGAGGAGCGCCACAAAAGACACAAAGAGAGAATGAAGCAAATGGAGAAGATGAGGCACAGATCTGGAGATCCCAAATTAAAAGATAAAATTAAAACCTCTGAAGAGATGCGTAAGAGGAGTCTGGATTTGACCACAAAGAAACCACTAGCACTAGATACTCAGCTAAAGGACAAAAAGCTCAAAGAACTCGGTCCACTGACTCCTATATTGTCACCAGATAATAAGCCACAGCTTGCTGTGGGGACAGATTCAAAAGACTGGATAACTGGCCCTCAGCTGAAAGAAATTTTACCTGCTTCTCCCAGGCCAGATCAGAACAGGCCGACAGGTGTTCCAGCTCCAGCTTCCGTAGTTTCTTGTCCAAGCTATGAAGAAGTGATGCAGACACCAAGAACTCCTTCGTGCAGCAATGAAGATTACACAGATTTGATGTTTGATTGTGCTGACTCTCAGCACTCTCTGCCCATATCCACAATGTCCATGAATGCATGTTCTCCATCCTTTTTTGACAGATATGCAAATGCTTCAAGTGGACTTCCCGACAATCCAAGTCAGACTCCAACAAGGACGATACCCTCCACAAACCTTTATCGTTCAATCTCTGTTGATATAAGAAGGGTCCCTGAAGATGAGTTCAGTGCTGGAGACAAGTTTTTCAGGCAGCAAAGTGTCCCGGCAACATCAAATTATGATTCTCCAGTGCAGCATTTGATGGAGGAAAAAGTCCCTCTTCCTTCTGTTCCTGCAGAAAAGTTTCAGTGTATGTCTCCAGGGTATTATTCACCTGACTATGGAATTCCATCACCTAAAGTAGAAACTTTGCATTGTGCACCTGTTGGCAATGTTGTCCAATCACCTGAAAGCATCTTTTCTGGTTTACAAGCAAAATCCTCCCCCTCGCATAGAGATGAGCTGCTTGCACCTTCTGTAGAAAGTGCTCTTCCCCCTGATCTTGGCATGCCTTTGGATACCACAGAAGAGCAGCAAGCTACTGCTTCTATTTTGCCTCCAGAGTCTACCTTTTTACCACCTATTGAAGAAAACCATTTTAGTTCAGGTATTTCAGAGCAGAACAATATGGACTGGGATAATCCTCCTTCCAGAAACCCTGACCCTCCCATCCCTCCTAGTTTAATTGGTAATCCATCTGATCACCCTGTCAGCTGGTCAGTGGGATCAGAACTTCTAATGAAATCTCCCCAGAGGTTCCCTGAATCCCCTAAGCCATTCTGTTCACTGGACCCAATACATCCTGCACCCGTGCCCTTTATTTCTACAGATTCTCCATACCCAGTTTCTCCTATTTCCTATCCATTGTCAGTATCTGAACCGGGGCTTGATGAAGTAAAGGAAGATGCTGAAGAAGCAGTTCCAGGAGAAATGGCAACTGCAGAAGAGCAAGCTCCTTACATGTCCCCTACTAGATTAGACACTTTCTTCAATAACTGCAAGCCTCTTCCAGAAGAAACACCCGAGATGCCTTTAGACCCCCCTTGCGTTCCAACAGAAACTCCGGCAGAGGCTGTTAACACTCTGGAAAACAGTTATTTGGAAAACAGTAGTGTTGCACCTGTAAACCCAGAAGAGCCAGTAACGTGGCCTGATCCATTCACAAACTCAGAGGATGACTTAGACCTTGGTCCCTTCTCGTTGCCGGAATTGCCGCTCCAAGCTAAAGATGTTCCAGATGCTGAAATGACTGAAGTGGCACCGATAGAAGAAAGCCCAGTAGCTGCCCCAGAAGTCATAAATGCTGGGGTCATAAACGTGAGTGTGTCTGTCACAGCTTCCAGTGAGCAGGAGGAGCTACCCCTTAATCAGCCAAGTAACTTACGACCTGTGGGACCAGAGCCACAGCTGGAGGAACAAAAGCCGGAAGTGATTGCACCAGAAGCTACCTCGGAAGCATTGAATGTACCAGAAGAGAAAAGATTAGAAGAGTCCGAGGCACAGAGTTTTCAACAGACTGCGTCAACAGAGCTTGCTCTGCCAGAGAAACAAGAGGCAGAAACAAACCATGAAGAATTGCCCTCGTCAAACTGTGCAGTGGAGAGTGGATCTCAAAGCAGCTTGGCACAAGCGAACGCTGCTGAGATTGGGGTCGCGCAAGACAGTGCTGCAGTACGAAGTGGGAGCCAAGTCTCTTCCATCCAGACAGAGACACCCCAAGGGACTACTCCAGTAGAAACCATAGAGCCAGTACAAAAACCAGTAGCAGAAGTTTCCAAACCACCCAAAATAGAAGAGATCCCGCAACGAATTACCAGGAACAGGGCTCAAATGCTGGCCAATCAAAATAAACAGAACACTGCACCTTCTGAGAAAGAGTTTCCTCCAGTTTCTGCACCTTCCACGCGTGCTAAAGGGCGAGTGACGGAGGAAGACGATGCTCAAGCCCAACATCCACGTAAACGCAGGTTCCAGCGTTCCAGCCAGCAGCTACAGCAGCAGATTAACACGTCCACCCAGCAGACAAGAGAGATGATACAGCAAACACTGGCAGCGATTGTAGATGCCATAAAACTGGACGACATTGAGCCCTATCACAGTGACAGATCAAACCCATACTTTGAGTATCTTCAGATCAGGAAAAAGATTGAAGAGAAGCGGAAAATCCTCTGCTACATCACTCCCCAAGCTCCCCAGTGTTATGCCGAATATGTCACCTACACAGGGTCCTACCTGCTGGATGGCAAGCCGCTAAGCAAGCTTCACATTCCAGTGGTGAGTTACCCTCGCTATTTCTTCTGGCTCCATTCTCTTTATGGAATAATAAAACTGAAATGCTACAAATATAGTCAAGTCTGGGTGTCCTCCAACATAGTCAAAGCACAGTTCTGTTTTATAGTCAAGATGGGACCCCAGCTGTGTACCTGGCTTTAGAATGCTTTTGGAACACACTGAAGATTACAAAACTGAGCCTTGCTATAGGGACAACTGTATTATAAATGGGTTTTGCTGTATTTGTATAGACAAGACTTTTAAACGGTGCTTAGGAACTCAGGAACCGTAGACTGTGTTCATGTGAAGCCAATGGATTTGAAAGCCAGAAAGCAAAACTGCTTTTATAAGCAGTATACTAATTAGGTATGGCAACTATAAGACCATAAGCAGGAGCAGGGCCATCCCTGCGAGTGGGCAGCCCGACAAAGGGGGGCACCCTGCGCAGGGTTTGCCTGATTCCCACCTGACCTGCTGAGAGCCAGCTGGACTGGTGGAACAGCAGCATCTGGAGGAGGAGCGGGGAGGGACCCGAGCTGCAGGGGGGCAGTTGGACGAAAAGCCGAGCCAGGTGATTTCTCCAGAGCAGGGGTGCCCCTCCTACCCCCTGCTCCACTGCCTTGTGCAGCTGCTGCTGCTCCTGTTTTCTCCCCATGCTGTTTCTCCCCGGAGCCCCTGGCCACTCCAGACTGGGAGCGTCCTCCTGTCTGCTGTGCGGGGGGGACTGATATCAGGGTGTTCTCTCCCCCTGCCTGTCTACCCAATCTCCCCTGAGCTGGGGTGACGGGACAGAGGGAATCTCTGTGCTGCTGCCTCTCTGGGTCCAGCAACAGCTGCTTGTGTGTGAACAAGCCTGCAGATGCCTGACCCTGAGTGCTTTCTTAAAGAGATAGAGTGCGCGCGCGCACACACACACCCCTTCCTACATCCAGGTCACTTCCCCGGCGGGGCTGAGGCATCAGCAGCTGCTGCTCTCCTGCCCTCTCCTTACGCAGCCCAGGTGGGGAAAGTGACCTAGATGAAGGGAGCCCTGGTGTTGCTTCTCGCTCCCCACACACACACAGCACAGGGCAAAGGAGCAGCAGGCCAGTGGGGGAGCGAACAACGATGCCAGCTGCTCTGACACTGCATCCAGGTCAGTTTTCCCATGTGGGTGCAGGAAGGGGATGTAGAGGTTAGGGGCACAGGAGGGGCAGGGGTTGGGGTGAAGAGGACACAGTGGAGGAGTTAAGGGCGCAGGAGGGAGGTGCAGGGGGTAGGAGTGAAGGGCGTTCAGGGATTAGGGGCAGGGGTTGGGGGCAGGCGTTGGGGCACTGGAGAGGGTAGGGGTTGGGGTGAAGAGGGCACAGGGCAAGGGTTGGGGCACAGGAGGGGAATGCAAGGGTTGGGGTGAAGAGGGCACTGTGCAGGGGTTAGGGGCGCAGGAGGGAGGTGCAGGGGTAGAGGTGAAGGGTGGTGCAGGGATTAGGGGCGCAGGAGGCACAGTGTAGGGGCAGGGGTGAGGGGAGGGTGGGGAGCCCATTGGGGCCAGTGGCACCAAAACGTAAGTTGGCCCAGAGTGCCATTTTCCCAAAGGCCAGCCCTAAGCAGAAGATAGCTACTCTTAACTTCTGCCTTTTATTTTACCCAAGGCTCCGATGTGCGACTGGCCGGTAGTGCTGACCCCATGGCAATGGGACCAGCTATTTCTCTGACAGCTCCACTGATGGAGTTTGCCAGTGCAAATGCACCAATAGACTAACCCCTCCAGTCAGGAAATATCGGCTCCCAGCCTCCAGGGGAGGTCGTTCTGGATTTGACTAACGTGGAATTCCATGTCCTGCTGCAGTTAATGGAGAATTCCACAGTTGAGGGAACCTTCCTTCTTTTCTACCCGGAGCAATGCTGGATTCTGTACAAGTGCAAGCGCTGGGAGGCTTTCGCTTCATTAGAATAAGCTTTATTGAAAGAAAATGCTCCACTGGGTTTCCCTTTGGGGAGTGTAAACAGGTTTTCCTCCCTGAAACGCAGCAGTCCGAGGATGTCGCTGGGAAATCGTCCTACATTCTGACCATTTGAAAGCTGTGGTTCTCGTAGTAAATGACCTGGCAGGAGACGTCTGGCAGTGCTCTACCTGTTTCATGGAAAATACAGTTCTCTCCTCCAACATATTCCATGATGAAAGTGAGGAATGAGAACCAAGGGCCTGCTCCTGCAATGAGCTGCCTGCACCTGCCTGGCGCCCTGTTGAAATCAATGGGGCTCAGCACAAAAGTTTGTCGGAATCCATCTTATTGCAGGATCAGGGCCTGAATTGATGCACATCTTATCTGCTGTGAAATCATGAGCATTATAGGTGACGAGCACATCTGTTTGTCCCAAAGAACAGCAGCCACCTAGCTCTCTACTCTGCAAGGCATGCTGTTCTGTGTGTGTGATTGGGCCCACAGTGTGAACAGGAAAACACTCTAGGATTGTAGCCAGAACTCTGTGCTACATCGGTGTTGTCCCATGCACACTGCAAACCCAAAGTTGTGTTGGAATATGGACACGCCTCAGTGTGTGCTGCCCACCATGAGCAGGGACTCTGCTGCCCCGACATGCTTCACATGTTGTCATGCCGTTGGTTCCATCAGATGACCTTAAAGCGCTTCACAAAGTGTCTTTGTGACGCCCTGAAAGGGTGGGTAGGTTAAAGCATGTGGTGATGGAAGCCCCAGCCGCAAGAGCCGTGCTCACCTCTGAATACAGAACCTCTTACCCTGTTTTGCATTCCCACACACTGCCTGGTCACGGCTAGCCTTAGGGGATGGTCCTTTGCCTCCCACCTGCATGAGAAGGCTTCCTCCGCTAGTACGGTGGATGGTGTGAGCGCCGTCTCCCTGGCAACTGAATGATTTGGCAACACATCATCAGCCTAAGGGCAGTAATTGTATAGTTGCACCCAAACCCCAGGCCTGTGTGTAGCAGCTGAGAGCACTGGCCCCATGCCTAAAGGGACAGCAAGCTCCAGAGCAATTTCAAAGGGTGAGCAGCAGCAGCATTAGGAACACAGCTCCGTGCTGCTCAGAAGGAATCCAGCCTGTGTCACCATTTGTAACAGTTTGTGCCTCTCTGTGTGTCTGTAGATTGCACCCCCTCCATCGCTCGCGGAGCCCCTGAAGGAACTCTTCAAGCAGCAGGAAGCAGTGAGGGGGAAGCTGCGACTCCAGCACAGCATAGAGCGGGTAACGGAGAGCCGTTGGGGGATTCCTTCTGGGGCGAGTGGTGCTTCTCTTCCTTCTCTGGAGAAATGAAGGGCACTCGTCACTCACTGGGTTACTTTCTCCTCTCTCCTCAGGAGAAGCTGATTGTTTCATGCGAACAGGAGATCTTAAGAGTTCACTGTCGGGCAGCGAGAACCATTGCTAACCAGGCAGTGCCCTTCAGTGCATGCACCATGCTGCTGGACTCCGAGGTCTATAACATGCCTCTAGAAAATCAGGTCAGTGGCCATCTTACCAGTGGTTAAATCGGCCTCGAAGGTCCGTTTGTGCAGCTGCTGACGTGTGCTGTGCTTCTCAGAGTGATGGGTGTAGGGAAGCCTTAATGTGCTTCCCACCCAGGTACCTACAACTCCCTTCCCTTCACACTGCTACGATGTGGGAGATCTCGCAGCACGTGCTGCTGTTGACTAATCTGACTCGTTTGCCAGAGGGTCCAAGTCACAAGTTCAGCTGCCCAGTGTGTGCGTGGGGGCAAAGAAATGTGTCTGTGAATGACATCCAGGAGCCAGTGTTATAGGCCTATTTAAAGGTAGCAAAGGCCCCTGATCTGTCTGCAAGCTGCAAAGCCCCCTCTGCCTCTCCTTGTGAGCAGAACCATCTGCACGTGTGAAAGGTTTATTTCCATGCAGCTGTTCCACAGTCCCCGGTTGTGTTGCACAGAGAACAGAAATCTATGAGATGACTTTCTTAGAGAAGACTGGCCTTGAAAAGCAAAACTGCGCGGCGCAGCCCACAGAGATGGGCTTTTCCCCTTTGATTCCGCGGAGTGTGGCGCTGGCAAAAGCTGAGAAGAACTAGCACAGAAAATGAGTCAGACTTCAGCAGTCAGTATTATTGTTCAGCTTCATAAGAATTTAAAATTAGCTGAAGTGGGGCAGAGCGATTACATTAGCACCTCCTGCTGGCCAGAAGCTTTGTAGCTGGACCACTAACCTGCCAGAAAGCTGTCATCTCTGTAGAAAGCACCCTGCTGCATTGCAGAAGCTGAGGCCTGTGCTGCAGACAGTATAGTGGGATTCATTAGTGATCCAGCGTATTGATCCATGCATCTGATTTACCTCTCAGCGTTACCCAGGACAAAAAGAAAAAACATTATGGAAATCTCCATGTAGAAGACATTATGATCTGGGGCACAAGTTCAAGGACTCGGTGAGCTGCAGGTGTTCCGTTCTCAAAGGAAGAACTGAATGAGCTTAGTATGAACAGATTCTCAGCTCCAGCTCCATGTGGGGAAGGCAAGGAGGGGGCTTGTGTGCATAGCATCCACCACTCAGGCTGAAACCTCTAGCAACGTGCTGTGAAAGCAGCACAGAGCTGCATAGCCCATTATTCCTCCCTGCTGGTGCACTTCTGGCTACTTCAGACCCACCCCTCTTCTTTCTTCCAGGAGTGTGGTGGGTTTGTGTGTGTGGTGGGGAGTGGAGGGGTTTGCACCTGTCTGATAGGGTATTTATTTTATTGATACGTTTTAACGTGTAATTCCCCTTTGTGCTGTTCCCTGTGCAGGGAGATGAAAACAAATCAGTCAGAGATCGTTTCAATGCTCGCCAGTTTATTTCCTGGTTACAAGATGTGGATGACAAATATGATCGAATGAAGGTGAGAGCTGCGTGACCCTGCTGTTCCTTGGGGATTCCAGTGCACGGGGTGTGCAACATTTCCAGGAGTCAGTAGCGGATGTTGCTGATCTGTAACCTGCTTGGGATATTTTGTTTGGCATTTTAAATGTGAAATAGGGGGAGGGTTCCAGTCTCTCCTGTGACAGTGGTTGCTGCTCCAGTCAGTCAGTGCAATTCCTACAGTGAGCCAGAGGCAGGCTGTCCAGAGCAAAGGCCCTAAACCCTGCTCTCCTGCTTGGCAGTGTAAGTCATTGCTGCTGGGCACCTGGCTGTGCCTGGCTTCAGGGTTTGGCAAGCGGGATTTGTGGTTTCCAAAAATCTCTGATAAGGGCAAGGAGCCCCAGAGAGAAAGCTTTGTGAGCAGTTCTAAATGCCATACCTTGACAGCATCCGTCTGTGCAGTACACTTACACGTTCCTGTGCCATGCAGAGAGCAATCCCTGCTATGAGCTAGGGAAGGACAGGCCATCTCTGCTGTTCTGCAGATGGGGAAAATGAGGCAGACTGAACCTGCCCACGATCACACAGTGAGGCTGCGGCAGAATTCCTGACTCAGCCCTGTGCTCGTTCCTTCAGGCCACACGGTTTCCTCTTTTCCATGCTGTTTGGTCTGCCAAGCAGTGGCCAACTGCTGCATGCTGACTGTCTGTCTGTTTGGAAGTCCCTCAGATAGACTTTCTGTCTAAGGTACTTCCATGGACCCCGCACAATCTGTAACATATTCATCCTCACAACACGGCTTGCTGCAGAGCAATGCTCTTGCCCCATTTCACAGACAGGAACTGAGGCACAGAGACAGAGCAGGGACTTAAGCCCAGGTCCCAGGCTAGTGCCCTAACCAGTGAGCCACCCCTTCCTCTCTTCCTTCCTTCATCTTTCACACAGAGGTGGAGACTGCAGGTCCCAGTATGCGGTGTTGCACATTGATTGGGCCTGTATTACCCTGTACTAGCCGAACTGCAGCACTCCATGGGCTGTGTTCAACCAGCACTTCACCCTGGCTACCTCCAGGGGTAAAAATGGTTCTAATCTGGCCTGTTGTTCTGAGGTTTTATAGCACCTCTTGAGGAGTGGGGCTTTCTCAAAATCCTGTTGGACAGACTGTTTTCCAAGCGTATATTTCCTTCCGACAAGGGCACCCAGTGTCTGCTGTGGAACCTGTCCCTGGCTGGGAATGTGTCTGTCCAACATGATAGCCGCAGACTCCATTGCCTTGCTGCCAGAGTGCAATTGTTCAGTGCACTCAAGTGATTGTCGTCTTCTCTCTTCTCTCTTATGAACCCCTGTCTCTGCTGGGCGTTGGGTTCTGGTGCAGACGTGCCTGCTAATGCGACAGCAGCATGAAGCCGCTGCCTTGAATGCGGTGCAGCGAATGGAGTGGCAGCTGAAGGTTCAGGAGCTGGATCCAGCTGGTCATAAATCCCTCTGCGTGAACGAGGTTCCCTCGTTCTACGTGCCGATGGTAGATGTCAACGATGACTTTGTGCTCTTGCCGGCATGACAATACAAAACCAGGAGACATTCTCCCTGAAAACTGGCAAGGGCGGGAGCCCTCCGAGGACAGATGCTCGAGCTCACATTCATCCTTACCACTTGCTGATGAGTCCCTGGTCAGAGGAGGAGGAAGCATCTATCGGCAGAAAACAAAACAGTAAGAAAAATAATTGCACTTTCTTCACGACGTCTCCCTCACTTCTGGACTGATCAGAGCTACGCCAGGCAGCGGGAGTGGGGGAACGCATCTCCTGTCAAACCGGTTGCTGCAGCAGAGGGCAGCCAGCCTGTACACAGCAGTGAGCGTCTGAACGGACAAGGGGGAGAGAGACTGACGGAGGCAGGGAGGAGAAAAGGTTCAAGAACACGTGTGTTGCAGAAGCTGCTGAGCAGGGCCAGCAACCATGCAGTTCATGTACTTGTGAACATGGCGATTTCAAGCTCTTTGTTTTCCATTTGTCCGCAGATCTCCTCTTGGAGAAGCTGCAGAGGAGACGGTGGGTTTTTTATAGTTCTCGTTCCATCCTGGTTACGTCACAAATTAAAAGCAAAACTAAAAGGAAGCATCCAGCTTTCCCAGCTGCGGTTCCGGAGGTGCAAACAGCTGCGGCTCCCGACCCCGGACGCCTTCTGAGTCGTCATAAAGTAGCTGCTCGTCACCACGTTTGGATGAGTGAGGAGGCAGTTGGCACGTTATGCGCACGTGACTAGTACGGTGAGTGTCTACCGCGAAAATGGTGACGGAGAGCCAGGACTTTGCCGATCATGTTTTTAATGGAGTAAAATCCATGTGGTTTATATATATTTTTTTCCTTTAATCTTGGGCATTTCGTTTCTCTTTCTGAGAACATAACTTGAAAACACTACAGAGCCAATACTCATATAAAGAAAATTGTATCCCATAAATGCTGTACAGTTTTTATATACATTAACAATGTACTTTTGCTGCCTTCTAGATAATTTATTTTGCAACACATTACTGCACAGTTGTAAATAACTTATGTACTGTAACATCACTTTCAGTTATGTGTAAAGAAATAAATAAATTAATTGAAATGATCTTTGTATGTATAGTTCACCCTAGGCAGCACTTTCCCTCTCAAGGAAAAAAATAAGGGCCAAAATGGTGTGCAGTATTTCAAACCTGTCTTCTGAGATTCAGGCCTTGCAAACTAACTCAGTCTGCAGTCCCTGTTGGGGAGATCTCCAAGCGCTGACCTCTTCTTTTAACTCAGTCTAGTTTTTTCCTTTTCCCCCTGCCCTTTTGAGTTTAGTGGAGTAGTGAAACCACCTGCACAGATTCGGAAGCTGTGCGTCAGATATAGCGAGGAATGTTTGGGGGGTGAGGACAGGGGAGGAAGAAGGGGGAATCCCACCCTGACACATGCTAGCTTGGGCCTAGAGGAATTCAGAAGATGTTACTTGCACGTTTGGGCTGAGAGACCGACAATTTACCGCATTTCCACAGCCTGAGCTGCGGTACTCTGGGGAGCCAGTGACTCGGAGCCGCGTGGCTTCGGGCGGGCGAGGCCGCCTGGCAGCCGGGCGGAACTTGTAGCCATTTCTTCATTGTGACCAGCCATTCTAGTGCGCTATGAGTATTGTGAGTTCTGGATAAAGAAGCCAGTTGCTCCGTGAGTCGTGTGTGGAAATAAAGCACCACAGCTGGGAAAGTGACTGTGAGGGTGAGTTGGGGCCGAAAGATGCTCTAGGGCCGCTGCAACGCTGCAGCCCTTGGGCATCCAGCATCACTTTGCTTGTGGGATCCTTTCTGCCTCACTTTTCAGGGTGTGGTGAATACCCTGCCAGGTGTCTGAGGCGTTAATAAGCATGCTGGGGCTTAGCTGTGATTTTTATCCAGTTCCATTGGCCCAGTACTGCCCCAGTGGCCCAATGTCCAGGGGTACCGTGTGGCTCTGTTAGTGCTTGCTCCAAGGCTTCAGTTAGATGTGGTCAGCAGGGGATGTGCTGTGCAGGGTGATGCACACATCTTCCTTGAGCATTTTCTTGTAGTGTTGGCAGGCAGGGCTTCAGGTCGCTTCTGAGAGAGAGACGGGTTTGGCCATTAGTCGTGTGTCAGTCATAATGAGCTTCTGTGCTGGGTTACTCAGGACTAAAGTGTGCTTGATGCAGACTAGCTGATCAGGTTGGGAAAGTGTCTAATTAGAGAGAAGGGACACACCCCTACATCCCATAGGCTGTCTGGAGGCCACCTTCACCACGTCACTGGGAGCGCAGATTCCAGCCCCATCCTGTTCTGTGGGCTTCTTCCTGGTGTTTTGAACATTGCACGCTCGCAGAAGCCAGCTGTCTGTCTCTGGTTTTAAGAGAGCAAAAGCTCTTTGTTGAGGAGCCAGAGCCCGGCAGGAGGCATTACTCAGTTGTGTGCTTAAAAACCTCCTTTGGTACCACTCAGCCAGCCACAGCAAGGAGGGGTTTGCTCAGAATTAAGCCCTTGGGGGGGGGGGGGGCAGTTTCTAGTTGTATATTTAAGGAAAGTTTGTCCTCTGGCTCCAGCTCAGCTGGGGAGCACACTGCATTGATTTTTGTAAATTATCTGGTTTGGAGTTCTGGATTTGAACAGCCCCCGTCAGGAGGGTGCTAAGTGAAATTGTAACTTCAGCTGGGATGCTGGGTGTTTCTGCTGCTGTATTGCTGGGTGATGGCACCATGGCTGGTTCCAGAGAGGACTGTATTTGTTGAGTGTGTGGCTGTCAGTGGAGTAATAGTGGAGTCCGTACTTAATGCAGCTGGCAATGTTTGTACCCAAGCACAGATGTACAGGACGTGGCTGGAGGCAGATGCAAAATGCCTCTTCTGTGCCCTCTGGTCCTCGCTGACACTGATGGGCCAGCTCACTCCATACTGTCTGGGCATGTAGGTCAGCCAGCCAGCCCTGCTCCCTTTGCAACCACAACAAGTGGACTCTTTCTGTCTGCAGTGTGAAAGTGACCCATGCAGGATCCTGCTAAAACACACTGGCTCAAATAATTCTGCGTGAAATGAACAGGAAAAATGGGCACTAGCTCAGCGGGGAGTGGTGTCAAAATATAGGTACCCTGAGTGCGCTGCATCTTGTGCCCTGACGGGCTGGAGGGGGATGCATGGACTGACACACCTGGGGGCCTGTCACTTGGTTACTTTGAGGCTGTTTTTAAACATTGCCAGGTGCATGTGCTAGGTAAAGTCCAATTCAGACACCATTTAAATTCCTGTTCAGCTCCCCTCCTCTCCTGGTGCTTGAGCTGCTGTGGGAGCAGGGGAGGCTTGAGGGGAGGAGCTCCGACTAATTCAGTGTGAGGGTCGCCTGCAGCCTTGCTGCTCTGCTCCCCTGTCCCCTTTCCCCCGTACTGTGCGTTTTGGAGTGAGCAGCCTAGATGGCAAAGCTCTGGAGTCTGAAGCCAAGGCTCTCCCAGTGCTTTGGGATCTGGGCTGCCCACCCAGATAACACAGCAGGGTAGGGCCGAGAGCAGCAGGAGGGCTGGAGCAGGGGGAAGTCCAGAGTGGAATCAGTCTCGCATTTAGCTAGTGGAGAAACCAAAGCCCTGCTTGATCCCAGTGGAGGAGGAACAGCAGTTCTGGCACCTAGGGAGTCAGAGAAGCTGCCAAATTGGGCATTTCCCCTTGCTCAGCACTCTACATTCAAATTCTCACTCTGTCACCCACTGGCTTTTTAAACAGCTGCTGTTATGGAGTGACCTGATTACTTGAGCTGGGAACCACACAGCCTTGCAGCCTGCCGGATCACCGCTTTCCTCCAGGCTGCTTCAGAAAAGCCAGTTGAAGCACATTCCTGTAAGGTGATTTTCCCCACTAACTTATTGAATTAGTACCCTTGGCCTGTCACAGTAACTAGTTTCTTTTAACTACATTGTGTTAGTGACTTAAGAAATAAAATCCCTAGCTCCCTTCCTAAGGCTGTACGGTGAAACGGACAGGCTGTCCCTGGCCGTGTACAGCACCGGTGCTCAGCTCCATCTCACCATGCTGCTGTGGTGTGTCCACGGGAGTTTTCTCTATGCCTGTGCTGTGCACAAACCTGTCTGGGGGTATTCCCCGTGTCCTGGACTGAGTGACTGGTACAATGCAGGAGGAGGCTGCTCTGTGCTGTGGAATGTATCGATGGCCTACAGAGGGTCAGGATTTGTAGCACCCCGGGATGTATTCAGAATGTTTTTTTTATTTAAACATTGAGCCCTTTGTTTCCAGGGTTCGAGTCCTTTTGCTCCTTTTCTCTTCCTTTCAGGGCTAGGCTTTGCCTGATGCAGTGGCTGGTTTTCTCCACGGGTATTGCCAGCTAAATTGCAGCACACACTTTCCATGCAAGTGGAGGGGAATTGATAGGCCAGCCAATTCTCCTGCTCTGTGGGGAGGATACAGGAATGCTTTTCTTTCTCTAGAACACAGGAATATGGCCACAAATAACACTTATTTTTTTTATTAATTTCAAGCCCAGTTCTTTCTTTTGTTAAATAACCATCAATTAATCTGTATAAGCATGGAGAGACCTTTAATCAGCAATTTAAAGCAACAATAGCTAAAGCGTTGTATTATCTTTGACACCTGTGCTACGTGGATTCAAGTCTCAACAGTGTAAATTTCCCTCCTTGTAATGCTTCTCTGAGACTGTATATAAATGTAAATATCTCACAGGTCAATTCACACCCTTCTATTTGTACTAGTCCAACTTGCGTAGTATGTGGGGTAAAACAGCGGCAAGATTGCGTTGTCTGTAACGTAACAATGTAATTTTTTTTTACAATGTAGTTTGTGTACATATTGTTTGGCAGTGCTGGTGCTGCCGATGCCACCGCTCTGCCGCGCCACGGCTGTCCTTTCGCTGTACGACTTCCTGCAGACAGAGACAAAGTGAATACAAATGTTATTTTCTACAGTTGCATGTACAGAGATGAGCGCCAGAGAGATGCTGTTGTCCCTCAAAGATAATGTTCGTAAATAAATTTAAAAAAAAAAAAAAAAAAAAAAAGGAAGGTTTGTTTGTGAATTTCTGCCAGTTCATCTTCCCGAGGCCGGGTTTTCTGTTACTGTTTCACACCCCTTTAGCTTCACTGTCCCAGGAGTGCCCAGTGGTTTCAGCTCCAGGCAACCATTCAGTGTCTGGGGCAGGGACACCATCTGTTCGTACAGCTCCCAGCACAACAGGTCCTCTGGGTACTACTGGAATACAAACAATCATCCATCCACAGGGAACTTGCCTGGGGGTAAAGTCCAGGGCAATCACAGGGGTGTGCCGGATTACTGTACCGACGGCCTGTATCTCCTCAGATAACCCCCCAACTACAGTCTCTATAAACACAGGGCCAAAAGCAGCCCCACTCAGTGGAGTTGCACCATCTTAGGCCAGCGCTGAATCTGGCCCATAGTGACCATTCTGATCAGAAGCCTAAAAGGAGCTAGCTCCCTCCACTGTCCTGATCAGCAGCTCCGTCTCTTCCTTCCCTTCCCAAACCAGGTTTTTAGAAGGTCTTCTATGCAGTCACCCCACTACAGGGAAAGAAACCAAGCCTGGGATTAAGACCCACGTGGTCCCTGCTGGTGCAGTGTCCTATTGGTCGTTCCTCAAGTGCATCCACTTCTTCAAGAAGCTGCAGCTGAAACAGTCGGCGATTGCTGGACGCACACAATTGAATCACACACCTGAGTCAGTGTTGCACAGAGAGTTCCAACTGACCTCACTAGGCCACTAGGTGTCACCAGTGCTCCACACAAGCCCCAATGAACCTCCTGCTCTACAGCACTGTACACAGCTGGAAGCCAAGCTAAAGTTCAGCATGTTTCCAGGCCATGCATCTTGCTGGAAATTGACACTATGAATTCCTAAACGTCTCCCAGTCTGTAGCTATGGATCTTCAGGGGGTAGGTAACCAGAAACAGAAGAGTTTCTGACCTTATTGGAACTGTGGTGCTTTAAGATGTTTTGTCTGTGTGGATCCCACTTATGGTCTCTCTATGTGACTCGTACACATCAGTTATGGACCATCCACATGGACACAGACTTGAAGAACCAGTAGTTTCGTAGGCAGAGCCTTCCTAAGTGTTTTGTGTAGTGGGATGGAGCAGGTGCAGTAAGAGACATGCCCCAGCCCACCTGAACCATAATCCCATTTCCTTCAGCTTTTTTAATTGATGCAGAATGTTGAGATTTCACAACCCGGCTGTCTGTGGCAAGCCTTTTGTTACCAGTGCCCTTTTCTAATCCTGCCCTGATCCAGGCAATGCACGAGGATCCTTCACCCTCCCTGCTTCTGAGACATCTTAGAGCATGAAACCCCTTGACAATTATTACAGATTAAAATGGTCCGTAATGTAAATTTGTGTTTTCCCCCTTCTTGGCACAACCAACCTTCAAATTTAGCCAGGGTTACAACTCCCCATCCCCAAGAGCTGCCTGGCTTTCCTTTTCTTTGGCCATTCCTAACTCCATCTAGTTAGCAGTAAAGGTTTTCATCAAAGCGTGTGCTTTCATTAAAGTCTTTTACTCTCAGTAACACTCCTTTGTGCAGTGCCGCAGCATTGTCCCAGGAGAGATGACTACTTTAGTCTCTCAGTACTTCAGTACCACTGCAAGAGAGGCTGGCAGGGTGCATAATAATGAACAAGACTTTCCCCTCTATCGTGGTCCCAGCCCCCACTAGCTCTGGGAAAGAGAGAACCTTTAACTGAACCAAGTAGACTTGCATGGCACTGAGGAGGACAAACAGCTCCCTGGGAAGGAGCTCTAAGAAAAGGCAAACACAGCTGGGAGGAGATAAGGCAGAATGGGAAGGGCAGGGTGAATGTAAACATTAGTCAAGGTGTTCAGCGGCTTAGATCTGGTGAATGGTGCCAGGCTGCATTTTCATTGCCAAGTCCCATTGGATCTATTTAAACCTATTGCAATCAACCTACCCGCAGCACCCGATTATTTGTCCCCAGAGCCAAAACTTAGGCTGAATGCATGTGTATGCTGATTGACCCAGCCTTTGCATCATGTGGCTTGGGCATTGGGCACCCCACACACCCCTCCACCTGTGAGCAGAAAGCTTCAAAGGCTGTGGAAGGATGAATTCAGCTCATCAGCCTGTAGACTTTCACTTTGCTGTCCCAGGGGAGAAGCTCCGTGCTAAGGTTCGGTGCCCTGCCCAGGGCTGCTCTTTGCCCAAAGGAACCAAGCACAAGGGCCCCCTTCCTTCATCATCCATGAGCGCTCACTACCCTTCATGAAGCAGCAAGACCTGGTCAGCAGCAAGCCTGGTCAGTCACACTGCACTGATCCTGGGAGACTGGGCTCTTGGATGCACCCATCTTAAAGCTCTTACCTGGTGCAACATGTCCAAAGCCTGTTTGCTGCCCAGAAATTCAGGGCCATGAGTGTCCTCAGAAGGTGCCAGCAGCACTGTGAGCCCCATTCTGCACACAACTGCCTGTGTGCAATGCACAAGCTGGCCCAACCAGTCACTTTTGGTAGGTCCTACTCCTACCAGTGTATGTTGCTGTGAAGGCAGCCCAGCTAACCAGAGTACCAAGCAAGCTACCTAAGGCAGCCTAGTTAGATTGCAAGCTCTGTAGAGGAGGGAATATCTGTTGTTTGTGTGGTGCCTGGTACGATGGGGTCCCCATCTCACCTGGGCTCCCTAGACATTGTCAGACAAATCTCACCGTGTTCCCAGCACCCAGCTGCGCCTGCGCTGCACAGATGAGGCAGTACACGAAGGGGGCTCCAGCCAGGCAGTGTGAATGCTGGGATTCACAGAGCCTGGGCAAGGGAATAAAGCAGATAATGCTTGGAGGGTGCTGGCCAGTCCCCTTCCAGCCATGTGAGGGGCACCACTGAGAGTCATTAGTGGTATTGCAGTAGTATCTAGCCATCTTGGCCCCATGGTGCTAGGTGCTGTACAGAAAGACAGGCCTGCCCCCAAGGAGTTTACAAGCTGAGTGTCAGACAACAGCTGGAGCCAGACAGATGTGGGGGGGAGGGGTGAAGAGCACAAGGTAACTGAGAAGCCTCTAAGCTAAATAATACAGTTCACATGAATCACTAGGGGCCAGATCCTCAAAGGTGCTTAGCTGCCATGGAAATCAATGGGAAGTAGGCACCCAAATTGCTCTGAGGAGCTGGGCCTGGATGCTGCAGCTGAGACACGCCCCAGCAGTTGCCTGCAGAGGAGGCAGGTCTGCTGGAAGTGCTGGTTTGCAGTGTGATTTCGATAGCATGTCACCTCAGTGGACCTGTTACGGGGAATTCATAGAATACCAGGGTTGGAAGGGACCTCAGGAGGTCATCTAGTCCAACCCGCTGCTCAAAGCAGGACCAATCCAAATTTTTGCCCCAGATCCCTAAATGGCCCCCTCAAGGATTGAACTCATAACCATGGTTTTAGCAGGCCAATGCTCAAACCACTGAGCTATCTCTCCCCCCAGTTACTGGCCTCCACTGAACCCAGGCCCGTTCTAATGTGCACGGGGTGCAGCTGGGAGGGTTTGGAGCCTGACTCTGTATTTGCTCCCGGGGTTAACAGAGAGGGGGGCTGGGCCCGTTCAATAAGGTGGGTGGAGGGGAGAGATCTGGCCCCAGCACCCTGCTTGCCCTCGCATCCCCCTCGGCTTATCAAGCTGTGGGCGAGGGGTGGCCCATCCAGGGTGGGGCGTGCAGGGGAATTACCACCCCCCTAAAGGGGCAACCTCCAGCTCCCAAGGATTTGGTCCACTTCCAAGTCACAAGCTCTTCCTCCCGCAGGCTGGCTGGGGCTGCTCTTTGCTGGGACAGGCCTGGGCCATCTCAGTCCCCTCCCCTGGTGCCCTCTCTCCTCAGGGTCTTAGCAGGGCCGGTGTTTGCCGGGGGCTGGGCCCTTTCTGCGCCTCCTTCCCTATCAGCGGCTTATCAGCACCCCGAGCCTGGGAGATTCCCTTTCCTCTCTGGGGCTCAGCGCTGATCCCCCCCGCTCCCCCATGTCACTGGCACCCCAAGGCTCTGCCAACCAGAAGGTGGCCTGGGCGCAGCCCTGAGCTGGGGGGCCCTCGCCCCATTTCAGAGCAGGGGGCTGGGCCCAGCCGGGGGGGGGGGTCTCTGGAGGCTGGGCTAGATCCCTCCTGAGGTCTCGTCCAACCCCAATCCTCTATGATTCTGCGGGCGCACCGCCGGGGGGGCGCTGGGCGGCGGGGGGCGGGGCTTCGCCCGGCGGGGGGCGGGGCCTGGCCCGGCGGGGGGCGGGGCCGGGGCCTGCCCGCCCCGGGGCGGGGCCAGCGGCCGGTGTCCCGGCCCGGCGCGGCGCTGCCCGGCCCGCCCGGCCCATGGAGTTCGACGCGCGGCTGCTGCGGCCCGCGGGCGGCTTCGGGCGCCGCGCCCGGCTCCTGGCGGCCGCCAGCTGGGCCCCCAACGCGGCGCTGGCGCTGGGCTTCTTCGCGGGGCTGCTGCTGGCGGCGCCGCCCGCCCACCGCTGCCGCCCGGACCCCGCGCTGCTGCCGCCCGCGCTGCGCAACCTCTCGGGCCGGGCGCTGCTCAACGCCTCGGTGCCGCGGGGCCCCGCGGGCTGGAGCCGCTGCCTCCTCTACCGCTACGCGCCCGGCGCCGCGGGGCCCAACCGCACCGGGCCCTGCACCCGCGGCTGGGACTACGAGCTGCCCGCCGCCGGGCTGCGCTCCAGCCCGGTCACCCAGGTGCGCGGCCGGGGGGGGCCCTGCGGCGGGGGGCGAGCGAGCGGCCGGGGGGGGCGGCCCTGAGGCGGGGGGCGAGCGAGCGGCCGGGGGGGGCGGCCCTTAGGCGGGGGGCGAGCGAGCGGCCGGGGGGGCGGCCCTGAGGCGGGGGGGGGGGCGAGCGAGCGGCCGGGGGGGTGGCCCTGAGGCGGGGGGGGCGGGCGGGCGAGCGGCCGGGGGGGGGCCTGAGGCGGGGGGGGTGAGCCAGGTTTGGAGGGGGGCACTGTCCCTGTGGTGGTGGCGGCGAGCAGCGGGGAGGGCTGTCCCGGGGAGGGGGTGA